TAAAAAGGTAATACTTTCACATGATTATATGTATGTATAGTATACATAAAAGTATTTGATCAAACACTGTTTTCTCAGAAAATAAATCTTAGAATCTTTTTGTGCTGGCACATAGAGAATTGTTTCATTCATTCTTTCTTTTAATTTTATTTTAATTGTTGTTCAAGTATAATTTTCTATCTTTTTACTCCCATCCCAGCCCACCCACCCAACCCTCCCCAACTCCCTCCCATTTCCACTCACCCCTAGTTTTTGTCCATATGTCCTTTGTACTTGTTCCCGAAAACCCTTCCTTTTTTCCCCTGAAATTCCCTCCCCTCTCCCCTCTGGACACTGTCAGCCTGTCCTCTATTTCAGTGTCTTTGGTTATATTTTGCTTGTTTCTTTGTTTTGTTGTTTAGGTTCTTGTTAAAGGTGAGATCAGGCGGTGAAAGACAAATACCATTCTTTCCTAAAGCTCATTATATAGATGCATCATAGATAATATCGGTCCATCCCCTGTTGATGGATATTTAGTTTTTTTCCCAGTCTTTTGTTATTAAAAACACTAAAATGAATAAACTTGTGCATATGTTACTTTTTTATGTCTGCAAGTATACCTGTAAGATAAGTTGCCATAAGTGAAATTTCTGGGTCAATGAGTATATTCATTTGTAATTTTGATAAATATTGATAAATCATCCCCCATAGACTTCTGTGGGTTTACATATATACCATCATGTTTCTATACAGCCTCAATAAAAGCATGTTTTCAGCCTTTTAGATTTGTGTCATTCTGGTGGGTAAAATGTTACAACATGGTAGTTTTAATGTGCATTTTTTTTTATAAGAGAAGTTAAATATCTCTTTAAATGTTTAAGAGAAACTTGTGTTTAACTTTTCAGGAATTATTTTTTTACTTTCAATCCATTTTCTATTCTCCATATTATCATTCTCTTAACTTCTGGGGGTCCTTAAAATTAGGAAAATTAATTCTTTGTTGATCACATGAATTACAGATACTTTTTTCCGAGTTTATCATTTGTCTTTTAACTTCCTTTTTTTTTCAAATTAACTCTTTACTTCGGATGTAGAGTTCCCAGACACTCCCCATCCAGTTTCCTTTCTTATTAGTGCCTTATATCAGTGCAGCATATTTGTCACAATTAATGAACCAACAGCAATACATTAAGTCAAGTCCACAGTTTAGGCTAATTTCCTGTTTTGTTGAAGCTTTTTTGTTGCAGTGAAATTTATATGACATAACATGAACAATTTTAAAGTGTATAACAATGTTTTGCAACCACCACTTCTATTTAGTTCCAAAACACACATCAACACCAAAGAAAACTCATACCCATTAGCAGTCACTCCCTATTTCCCTGTCTTCTCAGCCGCTATGAACCACTAGTCTGCTTTCTGTCTCTATGGATTTACTTATTCTGGTTATTTCATGTAAGTGGAATTTTTTAAAATGTGACTTTTGTGTCTGGATTCTTTTAATTGGCTTAATGTTACTGAGGTTCATGCATTGTGTAACATGTACCAGTACTTCATTTATTTTTATAGTAAGTAATATTCTATTGCATGTATATACCAATTTTGTTATCCATTCATTCATAAGCATTTGGGTTGGATGAAATGGTGATTATGTGTTTAAATGTTTGAGGAACTGCCAAGCTGTTTTTCAAAATGGTTGTACCATTTTACATTCCCACCAGCAATTTATGAGGGTTTCCATTTCTTAATATCCTCACCAACACTTGTTTTGTCCTATTTGTTTCTTTGGTTGTTGGTTTTGTTTTGTTTTTTATAGCCATCTTAGTAAATATGAAGTAGTATCTCACTGTGGTTTTGATTTGCATTTGCCCAATGACCAATAATGTGAGCATCTTTTTATGTGTTTATTGGTTATTGGTACATCTTTTTTGGAGATATGTCTATTCAAGTCCTTTACAGATTTTTTAGTTGAATTGTTTATATTTTTGTTATTGATTTCAAGGAGGGTTTTCTTTATGTTTCCAGGTGCCAAACCCTTATCTCATATATATATATATATATATATATATATATATATATATATATATATAATATGCAAATATTTTCTCCTATTCTGTAAGCTGTATTTTCATTTTCTTAATGGTATACTTTGAAGACCAAAATATAAAACACAAAAAATTTCCCTATGAAGTTTTCCCTAGGAAGGAGTTTTATAGTTCCAGTTTTTATATTTTGGATGTCAGTCTGTTTTTAGTTGAATTTCATATATGTGAGGTAGGGGTCAAATTTTATTCTCTCCCATGTGTTGTAGATAACCAGTTGATGCAGCACCATTTGCTACAAAGACTATTCTTTTTCCATTGAATGTCTTGGCACCCTTATCAAAAGTCACCTGGTCACAGATTTATGAGTTTATTTCTGGACTCATTGGTCTACATGTCTATCTTTATGCCAATACCACATTGTTTTGATTATTGAAGCTTTGTTGTAAGTTTTGAAGTCAAGAAGTCCTAGTTCTCTAATTCAGGGCCCCTTGTATTATCCATATGACTTTGTGTATCGCCTTTCCCATTTCTGCATAAAAATGTCATTGAAATTCTGGTAATAATTCTGTTGAATCTGTTGATCATTTTGAGAATTATTGCCATCTTAACAATATTAAGTTTTTTAACCCATAAGATAAGGTTTGCTTTAATTTTTTTCACTAATGTTTCTGGTTGTTAGTGTAAAAAGTCTTTTACCTTCTTTTTAAATTTGTTTCTAGATATTTTATTCTCTTTGGAAAGGCTAAATCAATTTCTTTGTATATTATATAACAAATTATCAATATCTTTTATGGTTCTAGAATTTTGAGTCATAGTTGGAAATGCCTAATCAGCTTTATAATTATAAAGAAATTCCCCTACTTTTTTCTAAAACTTTTATGGCTTTATGATTATCATTTAAATTTCCACTCCATTTGGAATTTATCTTGATTATAATGTGTGAAGTATAAGTCCAAGTTATTTTTGTCATTTGACTTTTTAATGGCTCTAAAATAATTTATTATACAGTTCTCTTTTCCTCACTGACTTAAGATGCCACCTTTAGTCATATATGAACTTCTATATCTGTCGGGACTTTTAACTGGATTTCTTATTTGGCTCATTGGTTTATCTGTCTAATCATAATTCATCTTCACACTATTTTGATTTTGAATTTATTTAATATGTTTTAACATCTGGTGGGCTAGTTCATTCTCATGGTTCTTCTTTCTCACAGTTTTCATTTTTATTGTTGTTTGTTCTTACTATCACATAAATTTTAGGGTCAGCTAGTAGGGTTACAAGAAAACCTTGTTTTATTTTTTTTACTGGGATCACATTCAATTTAGAGATCAACTTAGAAAATATACATGCTTATGATTTTGAGTTTTTCTAGTCAAGAGCATCCTATACCTTTTTGTTTGCTCAAGTCTTCTATTGAGGCTGTTAAGTAATATTTAAAATGTGTCTTCATATAGGACTGACTCATTTATTGTTACTTTTATTTCTTGATATTTTCTTATTCATTACTCTAATAAATGAGACATTTTCTTTCTATCTCCTAGTAGGTTTTTATTTGAAATCAATCTAATTCTTGAGAGCTGCATAAGCATCTACTCTCAAGAGAAGATTGGTAAATAACTCTAACTCTTACAGCTTTGCCCAGAAAGACATAACTGAAATGATCATTTTTAATGCTAATATAAAATGTATCCTTTATTGTAATTGTAATTCATGCTTTAGATTTGAAATCAGAAAGGTTTAAAAATTATAAATGAATGACACTGAAGCAATAATGTTCTATAGTATCTCAGGCTTGTATAATAACTTTAGTACTAATTTATGTACATACAAATATGCATATGTGTGTGTATACACATACACACACATATGTGCCTACAGATACAAAGCCTACACATGTGTTTCTACAGCAAAAATATATTTGAATTAATGTTGCTTTTGTTTTTGCTGATAGATACATAAGATGTCATTTCAAAATTACATTTGTGGAGTAAAACTTTGAATCCTGAAAAAATTGAAGACCTTCCTCAGTTGTATATTTTATCAGCAATTGATTTTTATTTCTGCATGACTCATGATATAAACTAGATACTTTCTGACTTTCAAAGAAATGGCTGATTTCTGTCATTCATCCCTGTAGTCTTCATGACAAATTTTGTTTATTCTCTTTCTGAATAATGTCAGCTTCACTTTGTATTCTTCTTGAAGAACCGAGACTTTTCTAAACAATGAGGAAATAGGCAAAGTAATTGTTAGCACTTATATTTCAGAAGAGATTTGCTTGCTAGGATGGACTCACATCACACACAAAAACTGGAACATAGGAACTCAGTATGGCTGTCAGACAAAAACAGCTTTTCTTCCTTTTGCTTTCTTTCCTTTTTTCTTTTCTTTCTTTTTTCTTTCTTTCATTTATTATGTTGTAGTCACCACACAAGCTCAAAGTCTGTAAAATGTAACTTTATATATATATACACATGCATATAGTTATAAGCAGTTTAAAAATTAAACAGAATCATGTGTAACAACACAAATAGACATGCAACAAATATTTGTAAGATTATATTTGTAACATTATTTGTTGAAAACTGAATAAGCAAATTGATGATTCAGTAAAAAATACACTTTCAAAATCTATTTTTAATATTTTAATTTGGGTTTTTTCACCAACAGAAGACACTTTTATCTACTACTGCTAATAAAACCTGAGAGGATAAGAGCTTTGCCATCAACCAGTATTAACCTTTAGGGTTTCTGCATATCTCCCTCCCCTTCTTCTGTTGGTCGACCATGATGGATGATACTCCCATTTGGCCATGCTCTCTTTGATGTGATGTATCCTGCAATATCCAAGGAGAAGTTCTCAAATTCCAGATGCAGTGAAGGCAACAACATGATGGAGGAACATTTGGAATGGTGGATTGGATCAGATTGGTGAGGGTCACAGAATAGTTACCAAACTTTCATTGATTGCAGGAATACAACATGACCCTAGATTGCCAAGCACATGGTAAACTTCAAGCCCATCTTCGATGACACCACATTGGAAAATAGAGGCCAGATCTTGAGTCAAGAGGAACATTATCAATGACTACTTCACATGATATCTCTGAGAAGGAGTCAAGGAATCAGGGCAGTCATGGAATTTGACACTCAAAAATTAAAATCTCATTAAAACTGTGAGTAACAAATAGAAAGATTTTTAAAATGCATAGAAAATATATATTATTTTTAAAAAGAAGAATTCTATTAACCAATAGTTATTCAGAAGTATAATCTTACTAAGGCATTGAAAAATAGAAACACATAAGGCACTGACTTTCATGGCACCATTATAACTGAGTGACTGGGAACCTTGTAATTCATGGTTTCTCTTTGTCTTCTAGGAACAACCAGCATCCCCCCAAAGCTTCAAGATCAGGGTGTTGACCAACCACTCTGGAGCCCTTACTGTTCACAAGGCGCTGCACCAAACATGTAACATACATCATCTCATTTAACTTCAAAACAACTGTATGAAATACTTCCTCTAATTATCCCTGTTTTGTAAATGAGGAAACAAAGGCAAAGAAAAACTCAGAACCTTGGATACCAGTTAATGGTTAATCTGGGATTTGAACATCAGCTCTCTGTTTTAGAGTCCAAGCTTTTTAGTTACTGTTGAATTTTTTTTTCTGGAGTGAAGCTGAGGACTTTCAAATAAGATGAACAAAGGGACAGATATTTGCACTTGAGTAAAATGTTTTTTTCTAGTGCTTTGTGGAAACTCTAACATCTTCCCCATCTCCTCCCTAATTCAAAAAGCCCTAACACAAACTTCAACAAAAACATTTCATTACAACAACCTGTACCCTGTAGGTTAATTTTCTTGCATGCTTGCTCTAAGCATGCACACAATAGTGGGCTGTGAAATAGGGGTTCAGCTTCCCTGGGGCAGCTATAAGGACACTGCATGCCAGGGCTTGGAGGTCAACAGAAAGGCTGTCCCTGAAAAGCAGAGATGACTGATGGCCTGAATGCACAAGGGGCTCTGGAATGCTCTTTTATCTTAAGTCACAGTGCTCCGCCAGCCCCCAGCCCTCCATTCCTCCCATACCTTGTTTCCCATTTCTCATGCCTACGGTTATATGCTTCTTCCTGGCTTTGATTAGCCTGCCCCACAACCAACCTCCACCCTGCTTCCCTGTCCTCCCTAAAAGCTGAGAACGCTCCGACTTGGGGGAAGCACTCCATCATCATGATGGGAAGTGTCAGGTGCACAAGATAAATGCAAATTTCATGGCACCGCTGCCTCATTCAGCCAAGTTTTATGAGACTGAGAAAACTTGGAACCTTATGCTGTGGGGCCATTTGGTTGGCAGAGAGCAGAACAGACTTTATCCAACACCGTCTGTTGGCAGCTCTGGTGCTAGATTTATACAGAGAGGTGGAGATGGCTCTGGCTATTGGGCCTGCTGCTCAGCCAGCTGGGGGCTTCTCAAGTGAGGGAAGAGTAATGGTGTGAATCCTGGGAGAGGGTGTTCCGCCTAAGCGCTCCCAATGGCATCTTCAGGGTCCTACCTCAGGCTGGAGAGGCAGGCCAGGATCAGATTGGCCTCATGCACAGAGGCAGAGCATTCCCAAAATTTCTAACCACTCTTCTGCAGTGCCCACCACACTGATAAAACCTGGCATCCACAGCAGAGCTGGAGCTGGGGACTGATTTCTCTGGTTAGAAACTAAATCTGTTTTATTATTTGTTTTTGTTTGAGTTTCTGGTTTTCTATTATATGGGACATCACTCCATCTGCCTCCAAATCTATTATCTTGAGGGGGTGTGCACCTGGGAGGAAAAGTTTAACACGGGCTGTGACATAATGGCAAAAAAGCCACGTTCTGGAGCCAGACTGTCTCAGTTTGAATTAGCTTTCTTCCCTTACCAGCTCTGTATGACCTTGAACAATTTTTATCCTCTTTACATCTCAGTCATCTCTCTGTAGAGAAGGTATAAGAATAACAACGCTTACCTCAGATTGCAGTTGGGCAGATCAAATTAATAAAATATAAAACTGTAATGCATTTAGAATAGGGCCTGGTCAATGGTAACTTCTCGATGAAACTTGGTTACTATTATTTTGGCAAATATACTTTCCACTTCTTGCACCATTTGGTTTTCCAACCCACAGGAGTCAACCTGAAGTCTTGTGATCATGATGAGATGTTTCAAAACAGATCCTCAGCTCTGCCTGGGAGTTTGACTTGACTACCGGATAGCACGCTGCAGAGCTAGGCTGCAGAATCTGAGCTCTTAGGCAGCAGGGCTTGAGAGGGAGAAAAAAATGTGAGTAGCTCTGTGATCATTTTTTGGGGGGAATTGCACAAACATGCCACCCTTGCTTCACAGATAAAGTAGATCTGTGATTGAAAGTTAAAGAAGTAATAATCTTTTTCTGGCCTCAGATATACAACAGCAAATGAGATCAAGACCAACTCTGTGAAAGTAGAGTAAAATAATTTGTGGAGAAACTGCTAGACCATGGAGACCTTGGCAATTATTTGGAAATGAGGAAATCGAGGTGCAAAGGGAGCATGTGCCATGGCCCACCAGCCAGACAAAAGACAGTCAGTATGAGAACCCAAATTCCAGACTCCTAATTCAGTGCCCCTGTCTCGTAGCGGCTCTCAACATAGCCCTTGCAGGAACTTCTGCCACATTCCAGGTGTTCTTTTCTTCATCAAAATCCCCTGCACCTCCCTACAGGGCACTCTTCTCTAGGTACTGCCTCTGGACAGCAATTAGGGGAGGAATTTGAGAAGGCTATTCAAATCTATACATCAGAAACTGAGCTAGATATTTTGATGCTACAGAAGGATATTGACCATCACCTGTGCTTTCAAACATCTAATAACATAGTTGGCCAGACACCATGGAAGGGCCAGTGTTATAGGGTGGGGTGGAAAAGGGCATTATTAAAAGCCTTGACAGTAGTGAGAGTAGGGAGGCTATTTGAGCAAGTGAGACCTATGTTTAGCATTCTGGTATTTCAACATAACCTGTGGAGTAATGCTTTAGTAGCTTGCATGCACTTACTTAAGCTAAACACTATTATGGTTTCCATTCCATGTATTTTGAAAAGAATATTCAGTAATACTTCTGTCTTCCCTAGTGCAAAGATTTTTTTTTAACACTGTGACTTAAGTCATCATCATCATCATCATCCAGGTAGTTCTCATTGGTTGAATACCAACCATGCACCAGACCCAGTGGTAAGCACTGCGAGTTAACAGATGATTCATTATGTTCCAAAGTTCAGAGGGAGCCCTGTCTTTCATGAATTTTGGAGTTCCATGCAGGGAGGTCTCTTGTTTAGCCTTGCTGAACTTCTAACTGAGGAGGGGGCTGGCCTCAGGAGTCCCAAATGAGTGATACAAAGCACAATTCATAAGCTTGTCCTACAACTTCCTGAGGAAAGAGCCCTCCAGAACTCACACACCAAATAAAATAGTTAAGGGAAAAATGAGGGGGAAAAAGTGTTTTTTTAATCAATTATACTTTCAAATTATTTTCTTCACAGGATTTATTAGAACAAGAAGAAAACCCCCTAAAGTTCTGAAGAAATATTAACATAACATGCCTGTAACTCATGCTGTGTTTAATGAGAGGTGCTGTTTTTCCTGCCATGGGGGCCATAGCCCAATGAGTGATGGCTCTGAAAAGGGTCACATGCATATTCATCAAATTCGACATGCACATGTAAACTGGTTTTAATAGGCCATGACAGCAGAAGTTGTGTCAGGCAAATAGCTGCACATGTGCTCCTTCCCTCAACTGGCATATTTAGCCATTAATGCTCTGGTATCCATGGATGAAATATTAGCTTGTTCACTTAAGACCATCAGTTGCTGTTGATTCTCAGTGGCTACCAAAGGAAGAGAGCCTCTTAGCTACTTTATTAGGGGTGAAGCTAGAGCTTCAAGATGCTCATTTTACTTTAATGGTGCCATTAATACCATTCTGTTCCCCAGAACCTGGAGCCCAGAAGATGCAGGCAACATGTTCTGACCAAAATTGATGTTCCACCCAGTCCAAACTGAAGATGGCCCTTATGGCTCTAACTCTGTCACTCTTGCAGATGGTGTGGGGTTTAAAACCTTTTCTCAATATGTTTTGATGCAACATTCATTTTATTCAAGCGTCAACCAGTTGGAAGGCTGTTGAGGCACACACACACCCAGTTGCTTAAGCAGACATCAACAACAATTATGAGCCCTTCTGAAACTCTCTCCTTGGTTATCTGATGAATACACTGTCAAACTTAGAAGTGAATTAAATGATCACGAAGCAACTGAAACCACAATTGATCCATGAAGAAAGACTATCGAGAATGTACAGTGAGATGTTTATGCAGTGCACAGTCTATCATACGACGATAGAACTCCAAAGCCCATTATTTTAAGACACCCAGACCCTGAGTTGGGTTGATAAATTGTCTTATTGTAACCATCTGGAAGCCCCTGCTACCTCAGATGTCAACCTCTGGATATCTATATTTGGTTAAACACAAGTATCTTTAATGAACCATGGACATTTGGCCTCAGCTGTCAGTCAATTTCTTCTTGGATTGAATTGGTGTTTTGTTCTACTTTCTGTAAAACAAACAGCTGTGCATTTGAATTGCCTAAAAATTTGGTCTAACCAAAGTGATCTGGGACATGATTATGTTTAAGTAACATGTTTACAAGGAGTTTCATAGACTGAAAACTAATCTATCATTCATAGTCAATCACATTTGATTATTGCCCTCTTTCCCCCCTGTCTTCATCTTTTCCTGTCTTTTCTCCAAATCAAGGATTGATCTCTGAGAAATTATTTTCTGCCCTTTATTTAAAAAAAGAGTCCTCAGATCTTAAACTTGAAATAGAATCAAGAAAATAACCAGCACAGTAAAATACTTTATTAATAAAATTATACTCTATGTGAGAAAATACATTCAAAAAGCAAACAGTTGAAAAAATTCACTGGCTATTTGTCTCTTTCTCATGAATATATCTTCCCGGGTGAAGGAATTATACACACAATGCCTTTCTCTTAACCTCCCCATCGTCAGTTGTGTATGAAGGATACATGAGACCGAAGCCTATGAGTATTAGGCAGTTATCAATTCTCTCAAAAAATTACATATATATTCTCCAAGGTAGACATGTCAAAGCTACTCTTGGCTTTTCAAAAGAAATGTATCGGTCTTCATAGACATGGTATCTTGGGATAAGATAATTTAGGGGAGAATATGATTACCATGACCCAGCTCTTCAGTGTAATATATTAGAGGGTTCAAAACAATTTATTTGAATGTTGCATTACAATACAATGTTTTTAATGCCCCACACCCTGTATTTTTAGGCATTGCTAGTGATTTTATGTGTTTTGAGATAGTCTCAATTGAAAAGGTTACTGCCACGTGTAATAGGGGATGTGATGTGTGTTCGTTATTTTCCCCGTTCTGGC